CTCCAGGGACATAGGCACTGGGGAACAAAGGACATGGGCTGTCCCTGGCATGGTCAGGGACAGAGGGCCTCGTGAAGTATGGGGCCAGCAAGGATCCATGTTGTGGACTCAGCTGGGCACAGGGCTGGACCTATGGCCATCCATAGGGCTTTCTGGGGTGAGGTAGGACCAGACCTGTCCAGGTGGGAAATGTGGGATAATACATTTGTCAAAGGTGGGGATGGACCAAGACGTATCTGGGGCAACACATGGGAACCTGACGTGCATCCAGGATGATGTAGGACCAGGCTGTATGTTTATGGAGGGCAACTATCTCAGACCAGGGTGTCACAGACCCTCTTCATCTACCCATCCATCCATCCATCCATCCCTCCCTCCCTCCCTCCCTCCCTCTCTCCCTCCCTCCTTCCTTCTGTCTCTTTACCATCTCACTAGACAGTGCTGGCTGATCGGGAAGGGCATCACACCAGTGAGTGTCCATGGATTCCTTGGGGAAACGTTACAGGGGGACATCAGTGCTAAGGACAAGGCTGAGAGGGACAAGGACCCCGGGGGAGTAGTTTCTGGCCTCCTGCCTCTGACTGGCCTTCAGAATCATCTGAACTGTCTTGAATGAAGGGGCTGTATCAAATGAATCAGGGGGCCATATGGAGATCACTTGCACGAGACCAATTTAGGCCACGTGGACTGTTATAGATCATGTCAACAGTGGGCCACATGCCTGCTGCTGGACCAGAAGGATGGAAGAATGGAGCCAGCTGTCCCACTGGGAGTCCGATGGCCCCCAGAACTGGTGATTGTTAAATTACGTGATAAAAAGCTCATCTGCAGGCACTCAGAGCAGAGACAAACCAAATTCTTTGCTGTGAGGGTGGTGAGACTTTGGCCCAGGTTGCCCAGAGAAGCTGTGGCTGCCCCATCCCTGGAGGGGCTCAAGGCCAGGTTGGAGGGGGCTTGGAGCAACCTGGTCTGGTGGGAGGTGTCCCTGCCCGGGGCAGGGGGTTGGAATGAGATGGTATTTAATGTCCTGTCCAACCCTAACCGTTCTGGTAGGTGAAGGTCTAAGTGCTCAGGGACAGTAGTTAGTGACTGAGGAATGCTCTGGCATGGAAAGTGAGGATGCCCAACTGCAGAAAGGGTTAAATTGGTTCCTGGGAGCAGGAAACCGAGGGACATTGACTCCTGTCAGGAATTGAAAGGTCTCTTGATGATGAGATAAGAAGACCTGTCTTGTAGCCAGCATGCAATGACTTTGCTGAGGGACCACCTTTGGCCAGCAGGGCTGGTGCCAGGGGACAAACCTGTGCTCACAGGATTGGTGCCTCAGGGCTGGTGCTGAGAGGGGTCTTGCAACTCAAGGCTCCTTGTAGAACCGCTTCTGGTAGTAGGAGCCTGCCCAAGGTGTTGTTCATTACAGCTTTTGGTATTTAAGCTGTTACAGCAGGAGCTGCCCCCCCGCCCCTGAGTGCTCGCACCCCGAGTGCTGCCCCCCCGAATGTTCACTGTGTCTCTCACACACACACACACTCAGTCACCGGCGCTTCCTCCTCCTTCAGACTCCACCCTCGGTTTCTGGCGGCAGAGTCTCAGGCATCGGATTTTATAAAATAGTTAATTTGATTGGAAAATACAGCAGCAAGAACAGCCCGGGCTGGTGCCTCCAAAGAGACGGACCCCGGGCAAAGGAATCTCTGGGCAGTGGTGCCCTTGTGACCCACACACTGCCCCGCACGCATCTTTCACGCACCGTCCACGTGTCTTCTAGCCCAATGGTGATTTTGGTCTGGGGTCTTCTAACATCTTATTGAATTCTCTTCCCGTGTCCAGGGAGGCTGGCTCTGATCTTCTTGATTTGCAGTTTCAGCCAAGGGCTGGACCCTCTGTATCGTCTGGTCTCCTCTCCCTATGTACCTCCATTCGCTGGCAAAACCGAAAAGTCCCAGACTTGGGAAGAACACTACTGAAACATCACAGAATCTTCATGTTTGGAAAGGACCTCAAAGATCACCGAGTCCAACCATACACACACACACAAAATACCTCTACAATCTGGGCCACTAGAGCATGCCCTGAAGTGCCACATCTACATGTTTTTTAAATACCTCCAGGGATGGTGACTCCACCACCTCCCTGGGCAGGCTGTTCCAGGGCCTGACCACCCTCTCAGTAAAGTCATTCTTCCTCAGATCTAATCTAAACCTCCCCTGCCCCAACTTCAGACCATTTCCTCTACTCCTGTCATTATTCCCTTGGGAGAAGAGGCCAACCCCCACCTCTCTACAGCCTCCTTTCAGGGAATTGTAGAGGGCAATGAGGTCTCCCCTCAGCCTCCTCTTCTCCAAACTAAACGTGCCCAGTTCCCTCAGTCTCTCCTCATCTGACTTGTTCTCTAGACCCCTCACCAGCTTGGTGGCTCTTCTATCAAAAAGTGAGATATCAAAATACTTTCCCACACTGAAAGGCTAAACCCAGCACTGTACCAGCTGCTGGGAAAATCACTAAGGAAAATAACTACCGCAGCCTAAAGGCTTCAGCAAATCCAGCTGCTCCTGCTCAGTAAAGCTGAGTGAACAGCCCAAATCGCACCATGATATAACCCTAAGTCATTTGTTCAATTAAAACTTGCTTATTTAGGCTAAACAACTAAGATCCCTCAACGTAAGCTCAAATTCACCTCTGGGGGTACAATAAGGGGTACGTTGTGACCAGGCAGAGGGGGGAGCAGGCCGAGGCTGCTGGTACTGTTTGTGGGAGTGCTGGGGCTGCCCGTATGTAAGTGTGTGTGTTCTATAGGTGCACCGGCGCGTCTGCCTGCTGGAAACACGCCGTGGGCTCCACAGCTGGTTGGACCTGGGGGCCTGGAGCTGTGGTGGCCTCGTCTCTCTTCTCTCAGACTGCTGGATGCAGCAACCCCTCACAGAGGTGATGGAGGGCAAAGCTCTTTCCATGGTCCCATCCCCTGGACTTGCCCCTGGAGGCTGGTCTCCAGCCGGGGGGTGTGAGGAAAGGCTCTGCAGAAGAGGGCCCAGGAGTCCAATGTGCCCACAGAGGGGTCCTGTGGCAGTGCCACCAACTCTGTCCTGGGCTGCACCAGCTGGGGCACAGCCAGCAGGGTCAGCCAGGGGAGTCACTGGGCACTGGTGAGGCCAGAGCAGTTTGGTGTCCCTCAGTCCAGTGGACAGCGGGGGCTGTTGGGATCAATGGGCCTGAAGGGACCAAGGAGATGCCAAGAACTGGTCGAGCCTGGAGGAGACAAAGCGGGGGGGTTAAGGCAGGAGATGGGGCCAGAAGAGGTGTCCCAGAAAAGGAGAAGGCCATAGGGCACCCTGCTGCAAAACATCTCCTACTCTGCAATGTCCCCGGGGGAGACCAAAAGGGCTGAAAAGGGAAGAAATGAAAGGGTAGAGAGGGTCTAGGGGTGACCACAGGGGACACCTGAGAGCCCTGGAGGAGTCCAGCGGCCGCTCCTCCTTTTTTCCCCAGATACAGCCATATCAACACCCTCTGCCTCCCCCCGAGCGCTGCAGTTTGTTCCTGCCGGGGCCAGCGGTGGCAGAGCCCGGGCACAGTCCCAAAGGGCAGGACACACTCGCCTGCAGCTCGCAGGAGGGCAGGTGTGGGAGAATTCTTAGGAATTAATGGTCATCCCGTGAGCACCCCAAGCTCTGGGCAGCTGTTGACAATAGGCCTCTGACAATAGTCCAGGCCCTTGACAACAGTGCAGGCCTAGAGGTTACTAAACGGTTAAGTTGTGATTTGTAAACTAATGAAGCTGGCAGAAAAGGAGTAGCTGTCTTCTGATGTACTGATAAGTAAGACCTTGAGTAGAATAAACAAAAAGAGGAAAAGACTGTGTGTGTAAACAGCTAATAATAGCCAACTATAAAAGTATGTAACTAGTTATCACCTGCTAATAATAGTCCACTATAAAGGCATCACCTGGGAATTGTCTATAAAAGCTGAGCTATCTGTGCAATAAAGTGGCATCTACCTGATCACATTGATCGTCGTGTAGGGTGTCCGAAGCTTCCGCGTCATCAGGCAGGGAGCTGCAGATGCCTCAGCCCTGTGGGATCCCTGGCCAAGCTGCCACCTCCCCTACACAGCTCCAGTCCCACAACCCGCCTTGTCCCTGCTCCCCCCGCTCCCACATCACCCAAAGGTGACAGCAACTTCCCCTGTTTAATTAACCCTTCGTTATTGCCAAAGGGAGCTCTGTCTCCACCACTGGCCAACCCAGACTAGACGGCAGCTGAGGAGGCTGGAGGCCAGGCCCCAGGTGAGGTGGAAGCGGGCAGTTATTTGGAGTAAGGACCTCGCTGTTGCTCCAGCGTTGGACTGGGGAGGCCCAGACGGGTGAGGAACGGGGCCAGCCCTGTGGGGTGGATCCAGACCTACAGGTAGGAGACATTCCTGTCCCTCCTCCAAGGAAAGGCACCATTGGCCAGCTGGGATGAAACAGCCCCTGAGGAGGCCAAAGGGGACACCAAGTCACTTCCCTCCTGTTCCCCTCCATGGAGCTGCCAAACCCTTCGTGGAGAAGAGCACAGCCCGGACATCGCCTCGGTGAGAAAGGCCTGACAACAAATGGAGTAATAAAGTTCCTGTTTCCATGAAGAAATAGAATAGAATAAAATAGAGGAATAGGAATAAAAATGAGGAATATAGAGCACAAGAAAATCTTACACCCCTTCAGGTGCTGGGCACATCTCACAGGTGGGATTTGTGCAGCAGGGATTCCCCCCCCGTTGCTGTGGGAAAATCTGTCTGGGGTCCATCAGTGCCACAGGGAGGGGTGTGCCCTGCCTCCGAAGGGATGTAGGATTCAATTGCTATCTATAGTCCCCTTTTCCTTCTGTCTTACTAAAACAGCTTGTTGTTGCAGCTTTCTCACGGAGACTCAGGAAGAGTCTGGTGCTGCCCCTTCTCCCCGCCCCGGTTGCAGAACTTCACCCTATTTCGCAAGGACTGAGAAGAAGCCATTTCCCCATCAAGTGACCATCAAGAAAGAGAAACCAAAAGCCTCGACAGCTTTTGCCTCAAGGTCCACGGGATCCTAAGGCCAGGTCATCATGGGCAGGTGACCAGGACATTCTGGTTCCAGTTCAACCATCCCAGCCCTGCGATTGTGTCTGCAGAATCACAGGCCGTGGGACAGAAGGCGACTTGTGGCAACAAGAACTTTATCAGAACCCACAGGAAGCCACCCAGCTGCTCAGTGCCTCCGGCCAACGCCTTCTTCTGAAGAAGTCCCACTTGAGCAGAGGTCAGAGGGATCCGAGAGGGAGATGATGGTGCCCGTGACCCAGGTGCTGGCCTTCGGTGAGTGCCAGAGGCTGTGTGGGCTCCCAGAGCGGGGACGTGAGGCGTCCGGAGACTGCACAGAGATGTTACGTGGCTGTTTCTCTTGCAGGTGCTTGGCTGGTGGCACAGAGCATGGCTACAGCAAGTGAGTATCATGAGAAGGTAGATGGGGAGTTTGGACACACCTCTGTGCCCCCATCCATCTCCCAGGGCTCTTCCCCAGCCCCACAGAACAAAACCTGCTCTTGGGGGTGGGGGTGGGGGGAGCTGGAGCCAGCTCCAGGCTCTCAGCGGGGAAGCCGGGCGCTGGGACTTGCAGCATCTCTCTTCCTGTGCAGGTGGCCCCACCATCTCCATCTTCCTGAAGCCGCCTGGGACGATCCCACCGGGAGGCTCCACCACCATCTGCTGCAGTTGCAAGTGTGACAATGGGCACTTTGTGCTGTTCAGGGTTGGCCGCAGGGTCGATATCCAGCCCAGGCTGCGCGGCGGCACGGCCGAGTTCTCCATCTCTAAAGCCACCCAAGGGGACGCAGGTGGCTACAACTGTCATTACGTGGCTGGAGACACTGTGCTGGCTCGCAGTGAAACGGTGGAAGTCCTGGTGACGGGTGAGGGATGTGCTGTTCCCCCTTCGCGTGGGGTAGATGCCTCATGGGCACACCGGGATGCACGGAGCCACTTGGCTTCCCCGTCCACATGATGGGCAGGGGTTTTCTCCTCTCTCCTGGCTTGGAGAGGTGGGGACCGTCTTCACCTCTGCCTGAGCCAGGTGGTGGGGTCATGGAGATCCCAGTGGCTGCTGGCACCATGTCAGAGCCCTGCGCGCCTCCTCATGCCCTCTCCTCTCCCCACAGAGTTCCGTCTCCCTGAACCTGTCCTCTCTGTCTGGCCTGGGCACGATGTGGAGGCAGGAGAAGATGTGGTTTTCCGTTGCACCATCACACACCCCGAGGCTGGCTGTTACCTCTACCTGGAGGGCTGGCTCACAGAATTAAAATTTCTCTCAAACGGAGCAGATTACAAACTCTCCGGCGTGCACAAAGGCTCCGAGGGTCGCTACAGCTGCCAGTGTAGGGTCGCCAAGGGTGCGTCGTTTGAATGGTCTGCTGTCAGCAAGCCCCTGGATTTGACGGTGAGAGGTGAGACGTCCCCCCAGCCACATCCTACTCTTCTCTTCCTCCCTGGCATCTACCACATCCTGGGGGAACTAGACAAGAGGCTGTGGGGAAAGAAAGCTGTGATGGGAGGCCCAGCCGAGGATTACAGATGTGTTTGAGCCTTGCCAACTCCTCAGAGACCCTACAGATGACCTATAGACATAGGGTTGCTAGTCCACCAGTCGGGGGGCAGGGGTCAGGGGACACCTACCAGCCCCAGGGACAGTCCAGTGTCACCGTCTGGCTGCCAGTGGCAGGTGAAGGCCAGCTCCGTGTTCCTGTCCTCCTGCTGGTCTTTGGTGCTGCTGGTTGGGGTGACAGGTCAGAGACTGTGGGTAGGGGGAGTCCCAGGGGGCAGGGATGTGGGAGGTAGAGCTGACAGGAGCCCTTGGGGCTCCTTATGAACTTCCCTTCATCCCTCCTTAGCCCAGGAGTCCCCCAGCGTGTCCCCTTGCCCACGTGTCTGTTTGCCCTGGGACCCCCATGTGCCCCCTTTCCATCCCCTTGGGTCCCCTGTTGCCCCCAGGGGACTCCCTTGGTCCGGGAGCTCCAGGGGCCTCCTCCCAGGGTCCCCCCGGTGACTGTCCCTCCCTGTCCCCTGCAGATTACACCTGGACCAACGTGGTGCGCCTGGCGCTGGGGGCCGGGGTCCTGCTGCTGCTGGGGCTGATCGTGGCCGAGGCCGTGTGCGTGGCCCCCCCCCGGCTGCCGGAGCCGGAGGGGCCAGCACCCTCCCTGTACGTGGAGCTCCCCCTGACTGGGACCAGTATGGGAGCACTGGGATTGCCCGCCCCTGGGAGCACTCCGGGAGGAGGGGGGCCGGGGCCTGGGGAGGGGGGTTCCCCCCCGTCCGTGTGTCCATGTCCCCCTGTCCCACACCGGGAGCAGCGCCCGACCCCAGGGGAGGTGGGGGGGGCAGAATAACCACTCTCCTTCCATTGCTCACATTCGTTTATTATTTTAAAACACTGACAAAACACATCACACCATGATCTATATATATAAATTTACTTTTATACAGGTATAAATTTATATATATAGGACCTTTAAACCTCTGTATACTCAGGACACAAAGTTCCAGAATAGCTTCACTGGCTACAACGAAAGTATTTTTGTTATGAAAACACAAAGAGGAGGAGCCAATGTCAAAAAGGCGGAATAAATAAATTAAGCAGGGAGGGGGGTGCCCTGCCTCCAAAGGGATGTAGGATTCACCTGCTATCTATAGTCCCCTTTTCCTTCTGTCTACAGGGAGGGGTGTGCCCTGCCTCCGAAGGGATGTAGGATTCAATTGCTATCTATAGTCCCCTTTTCCTTCTGTCTTACTAAAACAGCTTGTTGTTGCAGCTTTCTCACGGAGACTCAGGAAGAGCGAAAGTATTTTTGTTATGAAAACACAAAGAGGAGGAGCCAATGTCAAAAAGGCGGAATAAATAAATTAAAAACGAGTGCAAAATGAATGAAAGTGCAAAAAAGCTTTTGTTATCGTAATGTTCCTTCCCCAACACGCCCCCCCTTTCCTCCCTCCAAGGGCGGGTGAGCCTCAGGCCCCAGAGGGAAGGGGGGGATTGGAGGAAGGGAGCCCGGCTGCAGCCCCCGGGTCTCTCCCTCTCCTCTGCCCCACGGGGTCCCCTCGGGAGGGCACGGAGTGAGGAATGGAGGAGCAGAAGCACATCCCCCTCAGGCTCCTTCCTCTTCTCCATCGCCCCTCATTGCACTCACGTCCCCAGATTTGCCTCTGCGAGTGGCAGCTGCCCCAAGCCCTAAACCCTCTGAGACCATTTGGAGGGTTTTTCTTTTCTAAAGGTGCTTGTGATGGACGTGGAACTCATGGGAGGGCGGCAGCGACAGGCAGCTCTGGCCGTGCTCCCGGCTGAGCTGCAGGCTGGCTGCTCGCACGGACACGGAGACCTCAGCCTCATACCCCCAGGATGCTGCCCGTTTCCACCAGGAGAGAGAAACACCTTCCTAAGAGGCTCCAACTGCTCCCGTGCACCCGGAGTCACCTGCAGATCAGCTGCCCCAGAAGACACCCCATGCCCGAGGCTGGAGCATGTGGCGGGACGTGTCCCACAGTTCCAACTAAGCCCTGCCAACACTGTCTGCAGCAGCAGGGGAAGGAACGGCAGGGGGACAGGCTTCTTACTAAAACAGCTTGTTGTTGCAGCTTTCTCACAGAGACTCAGGAAGAGCCTGGTGCTGCCCCTTCTCCCCGCCCCAGTTGCAGAACTTCACCCTATTTCGCAAGGACTGAGAAAAAGCCATTTCCCCATCAAGTGACCATCAAGAAAGAGAAACCAAAAGCCTTGACAGCTTTTGCCTCAAGGTCCACGGGATCCTAAGGCCAGGTCATCATGGGCAGGTGACCAGGACATTCTGGTTCCAGTTCAACCATCCCAGCCCTGCGATTGTGTCTGCAGAATCACAGGCCGTGGGACAGAAGGCGACTTGTGGCAACAAGAACTTTATCAGAACCCACAGGAAGCCACCCAGCTGCTCAGTGCCTCCGGCCAACGCCTTCTTCTGAAGTCCCACTTGAGCAGAGGTCAGAGGGATCCGAGAGAGAGATGATGGTGCCCGTGACCCAGGTGCTGGCCTTCGGTGAGTGCCAGAGGCTGTGTGGGCTCCCAGAGCGGGGACGTGAGGCGTCCGGAGACTGCACAGAGATGTTACGTGGCTGTTTCTCTTGCAGGTGCTTGGCTGGTGGCACAGAGCATGGCTACAGCAAGTGAGTATCATGAGAAGGTAGATGGGGAGTTTGGACACACCTCTGTGCCCCCATCCATCTCCCAGGGCTCTTCCCCAGCCCCACAGAACAAAACCTGCTCTTGGGGGTGGGGGTGGGGGGAGCTGGAGCCAGCTCCAGGCTCTCAGCGGGGAAGCCGGGCGCTGGGACTTGCAGCATCTCTCTTCCTGTGCAGGTGGCCCCACCATCTCCATCTTCCTGAAGCCGCCTGGGACGATCCCACCGGGAGGCTCCACCACCATCTGCTGCAGTTGCAAGTGTGACAATGGGCACTTTGTGCTGTTCAGGGTTGGCCGCAGGGTCGATATCCAGCCCAGGCTGCGCGGCGGCACGGCCGAGTTCTCCATCTCTAAAGCCACCCAAGGGGACGCAGGTGGCTACAACTGTCATTACGTGGCTGGAGACACTGTGCTGGCTCGCAGTGAAACGGTGGAAGTCCTGGTGACGGGTGAGGGATGTGCTGTTCCCCCTTCGCGTGGGGTAGATGCCTCATGGGCACACCGGGATGCACGGAGCCACTTGGCTTCCCCGTCCACATGATGGGCAGGGGTTTTCTCCTCTCCCCTGGCTTGGAGAGGTGGGGACCGTCTTCACCTCTGCCTGAGCCAGGTGGTGGGGTCATGGAGATCCCAGTGGCTGCTGGCACCATGTCAGAGCCCTGCGCGCCTCCTCATGCCCTCTCCTCTCCCCACAGAGTTCCGTCTCCCTGAACCTGTCCTCTCTGTCTGGCCTGGGCACGATGTGGAGGCAGGAGAAGATGTGGTTTTCCGTTGCACCATCACACACCCCGAGGCTGGCTGTTACCTCTACCTGGAGGGCTGGCTCACAGAATTAAAATTTCTCTCAAACGGAGCAGATTACAAACTCTCCGGCGTGCACAAAGGCTCCGAGGGTCGCTACAGCTGCCAGTGTAGGGTCGCCAAGGGTGCGTCGTTTGAATGGTCTGCTGTCAGCAAGCCCCTGGATTTGATGGTGAGAGGTGACACCCTGGATTTGATGGTGAGAGGTGAGACGTCCCCCCAGCCACATCCTACTCTTCTCTTCCTCCCTGGCATCTGCCACATCCTGGGGGAACTAGACAAGAGGCTGTGGGGAAAGAAAGTTGTGATTGGGGGCCCAGCCGAGGATTACAGATGTGTTTGAGCCTTGCCAACTCCTCAGAGACCCTACAGATGACCTATAGACATAGGGTTGCTAGTCCACCAGTCGGGGGGCAGGGGTCAGGGGACACCTACCAGCCCCAGGGACAGTCCAGTGTCACCGTCTGGCTGCCAGTGGCAGGTGAGGGCCAGCTCTGTGTTCCTGTCCTCCTGCTGGTCTTTGGTGCTGCTGGTTGGGGTGACAGGTCAGAGACTGTGGGTAGGGGGAGTCCCAGGGGGCAGGGATGTGGGAGGTAGAGCTGACAGGAGCCCTTGGGGCTCCTTATGAACTTCCCTTCATCCCTCCTTAGCCCAGGAGTCCCCCAGCGTGTCCCCTTGCCCACGTGTCTGTTTGCCCTGGGACCCCCATGTGCCCCCTTTCCATCCCCTTGGGTCCCCTGTTGCCCCCAGGGGACTCCCTTGGTCCGGGAGCTCCAGGGGCCTCCTCCCAGGGTCCCCCCGGTGACTGTCCCTCCCTGTCCCCTGCAGATTACACCTGGACCAACGTGGTGCGCCTGGCGCTGGGGGCCGGGGTCCTGCTGCTGCTGGGGCTGATCGTGGCCGAGGCCGTGTGCGCGGCCCCCCCCCGGCTGCCGGAGCCGGAGGGGCCAGCACCCTCCCTGTACGTGGAGCTCCCCCTGACTGGGACCAGTATGGGAGCACTGGGATTGCCCGCCCCTGGGAGCACTCCGGGAGGAGGGGGGCCGGGGCGTCAGGAGGGGGGTTCCCCCCCGTCCGTGTGTCCATGTCCCCCTGTCCCACACCGGGAGCAGCGCCCGACCCCAGGGGAGGTGGGGGGGGCAGAATAACCACTCTCCTTCCATTGCTCACATTCGTTTATTATTTTAAAACACTGACAAAACACATCACACCATGATCTATATATATAAATTTACTTTTATACAGGTATAAATTTATATATATAGGACCTTTAAACCTCTGTATACTCAGGACACAAAGTTCCAGAATAGCTTCACTGGCTACAACGAAAGTATTTTTGTTATGAAAACACAAAGAGGAGGAGCCAATGTCAAAAAGGCGGAATAAATAAATTAAAAACGAGTGCAAAATGAATGAAAGTGCAAAAAAGCTTTTGTTATCGTAATGTTCCTTCCCCAACACGCCCCCCCTTTCCTCCCTCCAAGGGCGGGTGAGCCTCAGGCCCCAGAGGGAAGGGGGGGATTGGAGGAAGGGAGCCCGGCTGCAGCCCCCGGGTCTCTCCCTCTCCTCTGCCCCACGGGGTCCCCTCGGGAGGGCACGGAGTGAGGAATGGAGGAGCAGAAGCACATCCCCCTCAGGCTCCTTCCTCTTCTCCATCGCCCCTCATTGCACTCACGTCCCCAGATTTGCCTCTGCGAGTGGCAGCTGCCCCAAGCCCTAAACCCTCTGAGACCATTTGGAGGGTTTTTCTTTTCTAAAGGTGCTTGTGATGGACGTGGAACTCATGGGAGGGCGGCAGCGACAGGCAGCTCTGGCCGTGCTCCCGGCTGAGCTGCAGGCTGGCTGCTCGCACGGACACGGAGACCTCAGCCTCATACCCCCAGGATGCTGCCCGTTTCCACCAGGAGAGAGAAACACCTTCCTAAGAGGCTCCAACTGCTCCCGTGCACCCGGAGTCACCTGCAGATCAGCTGCCCCAGAAGACACCCCATGCCCGAGGCTGGAGCATGTGGCGGGACGTGTCCCACAGCTCCAACTAAGCCCTGCCAACACTGTCTGCAGCAGCAGGGGAAGGAACGGCAGGGGGACAGGCTTGGGGGCCTCCACTCAAAAACAATGTTTGATTTGAAAAAATTCTTCATGGACCTAGAAGTTTTGGCTGCAGTCACATCTCTCGGAAAGCCCTCTCAGAAAGAGGAATTTGTAGGCCAGACACGACCCCATTGTCCTCTCCAGCTTCTCGGTGACACGGCAGGAGACATCCCCATGAGAAGTTTGGTCGGGGAACAGGGAAAGGATGAAAAAACTTTGGTGCTTCTGCCTTGGTCACAGCTTCCCCCTGAGGGGGGACTCCCAACCAACGCTCTGTGGAGATGGAGGACCCGCCAAGGCCAGGGCTGCAGCAAGAAACCTTCCTTCTGGTTTCCCTGCTGAGACCAGAGCCACCTTCTGCTCACAGAGGACACATCACCCGAGACCCTGGGACCAGAGCCTGCCGCCTCCACAGCCACAGAGACCACCATGTTAAAACAGCAACACACCAACAGTAGAGGAAACGGCGTTGTGGCACTTCCACAAACACCCATCCACACGTACACACACAACGCTTTGGGTTTGGTTTGGTTTGAAAGGAAAACAAGAAGAAGGTTCTAAGTTTTAACAGTAAATAGCCCTTGACCACCTCCAAACCCTGTAACTCTCTCACCCAGATGAATCCAGAAGGTTTGTACTCCAATGGCCAAGTCAGCCCCAGAGGCTGAGGAACCAATGCTCAAGAAGCTGGTGAGTGCATGACAGAGTCCCTCGTGTCTCCCATCACCCTTCCAGTGGGACTGGTTCTCCTGGTAGCTGGTCCCTGGGCAGAGCTCAGGCCCAGCGGAGACTGGGGCTCCAGAGAAGCACCTTGGCTGTCCTCTCCAGTTTGCTCTGCTCTCTTGGAGGTCAAAAGAACCCAGGGAAGGAGTTGCCTGTGGGCTCAGCTTCCTGTGGATGCCCATGGCTGGCACAGTCTGAATCACGCCCCTCTGCCCGTTCTGCTGGTGCCCAGGCAGAGCTTGGCTCGACTGCACCCAACTGCAGAGCAAGAGCAGATGGTGGTGGCTGTACCTGGTCCTATGGGGCAGCCATTGCTCCTCTTCCCCTCCAGCAGGGATCTTCTGAGCTCACCACCACCTCTGCTCTCCGGGGCAGCGCTGAGAGAGACAGGGCTCTCCATCCTCCACGCTGCTTTCAGATCTTCTGGGTAGCAGCTCTGCTCCCAGTGTCCCCCAAGCAGGAGGAATGACTTAGCGTGAGGGAACGGAGCAGATGAGGACAGGAGGCCTTCATTAAGATGTTTCCTTACGAGCTCAATAACCACGTCCTGTGCAAGGGCACCAAAAGCCAAACAGGAGCCCTTCTGTTCCAGATCACACCTGGAGGGGTCTCAGCACCATTTGCATGGAGTCTCACAGCTGAAGGTCCCAGGACTCCTCTTCTTCTCCCCCAGCACACAGTGGCCCAGAGAGACACTTCCCATCAGCTGAAGAGACCAACTTTGAGACCATTTATAGCGGATCAAGGGTGACTTGGAGAGTGGCTGTGGGACCCAGGGACACGGCTGATCCTGCCCAGCCCCTCTCTCCCCAGCTGCCCACGCTGCAGTGCTTGAAGAGATGGAAGAAAATAAAAAAGGAAAGGAGAAGGAGAGCTGCCTAAATCAAACCCAAGCACTGACAAAACAAACACATGGACTAATTGCAAGTTCTGGGTGAAGAGCAAGCAGCGGACGTTTCAAGAGCAGGTCAAATGTGACCCCAAATATTCAATAAGAAAGAGTCAAAATGCTACATTTCCATGGGAAGCCTAGAACAGATTGACTCTGGTGTGACAGCGGCTCCCAAGACAGTGCTGCTCCAGGACACGTTGCTGGTGCACTTGCTAAGATCCCTTCATCCCCGTCTTTGGGCACTGGGAAAGGGGGGGGAAATTGTTTTGCTACTGGTATGTCATCTTGGGAATGGGAAAGTGACCATGGAACTTGGATTGCATCACTGCAGAGGATGGAGAACCCTCGGGACCGGTGACCGCCCTCCAGCCCCACACAGCCCCACACAGCCCCACCAGCACCCACGGGAGGGGGACAGGCCACGCGAGAGCAGCACGGGTGCTGCCAGGGGACACAGGGACTCCCAGAGGCTGGCAGGGACTCTTCCAGGAGCCCCCAGGCACGTTGACTTTCTCAGCTCTGGAGTCCTAGCCCACTGGGCCTCTTCTCTCATAGGGGACAGTGTTCCATGGGCATTCCCAAAGTGCCTGCACCCTTGTTGAAAAGGTGCTGTTACTAAAAGGACAGAAAAAAACCCCTGGGTTAAGTGCTGAATATCTTTTAGCTCTGCAGGCAAAGAATCCAGGGACAGCAGAAGATCCTGCTCTTTGGGCACCAAAACTTAGGGGCTTCTCCAGGACAAAAAAGGGGGAGAAGGTGGCTCAGCAGAATTGTGTCAGCCAACTCAGGAGTGCCTTCACAGGTGAGCTGTGAACCTGCCCACAGAGAAATGGATGCTTCTCATCCTCGGCTGCCTCTGCTCTGGAAAGGGCCTTGCTCCTCATACGTGGAGCAAAGAGGGCCCGACTCTCCTTTGCAGCGGATTTTTTAATTGCTGCAAGGGGAAGGAGTTAAGAGAGCATCCTTCTTCCCAGAGACGTGCAGCCAAAGCAGCCTGAAGCGCAAGAGGAAACAGCTTGTTCTGCACCCCCCAGCCCTGGGGCTGCTGCCTTACAGTAAAGAGGAATAAAGCACAGAGGCTGGTCATGGGCAGAGCAGCAGCCAGGACACATCGCGCCCCGGAAGGGACAAGAGGTGGGCCACAGGTTCACAGTACGGCAAAGGGGCAAAGCAAAGTCATCATCTGGCCTTAAAAGGGAAAGCCACAGGAATTCAGAGAAAAAGGCAAAGTGAGCAGGAGCTCCTTGAGAGCATCCCTTGGCAATGACGTTAACACAAGCTCCCCCCAGAGGAACAAATCAAGGAACACAAAAAATGGAAAAGCCAAGACCAGCCTTTAAACGGGTGCAAGCCCGTAGGCAGGCAGCCAGTCCCTTCCCATATCTGGGTAACTTCAGTGGTGGTGACAGCCTCCGGCTGCTACACTGCTCCCCCTCAGCATCCCCCCCCCGAGTCAGTGCAGCCGCAGCAGGATGTGGGGGCCGGCTGTCATGTGGGCTGGGCCCACATCCACCCTCCCTCCCTGCAGCCACCCCCGGGGCTGGGGATCAGCCTGTACCCAGCGCTGGAGGAGAGGGGCAGCGTGGAGGGGAGAGGATGGGAGATGGACCGGTTGGAGGGAGGAGATGTGGCACCCAAGGAGACATGAGCAGGACATGACAAGCTGCGATCAGTTGGGGGGAGCTGCTGTCCTGACCAGATAGTTTGGCAGCACCGGTGCTGAGGGAGGGTCCCCATCGGGGCTGAGAAAAGTCACTTTAAGGTGTCATCAGCGTTCTTGAACATGAGGATGGCATTGTAGATCTTGAGTGCTGGGCCCAGCTTGACACTCATAATCTTGACGATGTCGGCCTGTGTCAGCAAGAGGAATGCCTCGCCATCGATCATCTGGAGAGGAGAGCAGGGACAAAGGCACTCACCGAAAACCCAGCTGTGGCTTCCTAGGGACAGCCAGCACGGGCACAACCCAGAGATAGGCACTCACCCTCAGCCAGGTGCCATGGATGATGGCAGGCAGGGGCCACCCACAGCACTGTCCCAGATAAACCAGAGCTCATGTGCCCAGGAACAGGGCAGAGATGGGGAAAGGACCTTTACTGGGGCCACCCCAGGAGCTCACACCACAGGCAGCCCAGGGCAGCACCCCCTGTGCGCTGTGCCAGAGTGACACGGGCACAGCCACAGCCAGCAGGCAACCTGCCTCGGGCAAACACCCACCCATTCCCTGCTCCAGGTCCCGGCACACATGGAGGCTGCTCCCAGCTCAACTCTGGGTGCCTGAGCACCCTTAAAGCACAGGGGCCATTTACTAACAGGGCTGGGACACTTGCTCTGCTCACTGTCCCCAGGACCAGCCCACCCGGGGTGTAACTGCCCATGATGGAAAGCGGCCCCTCTGCACGTCTGTCCACAAAGGGGTCTAAAAACAGTGAATGTGGCTGACGGCAACGTCACCGAACCGCTGTGCGGGCGAGAGGATGCAGGTGGGGACAGATGGATGGGTGAGGAACAAGCAGCTTGCCTCAGGAGGTGATGGTGCACCATCCTCCCCCACCCCTGGGAGAACAGGGCAGTGCAGCATCTCCCCTCCTGCCGCCACTGCAGGGACAGACACCAGGGCTGCTGCCCCCAGGGCTGCATGGTGGGTCACTGCCAGGTGCTGGACCTGCTCTCAGCATTCAGCAGCAAGCCACTGCAGGAAGGCCACTGGCCAATTCCTCCTGTTGGCAAACAGCTGTCCTCGGTCACCTGTGCTCGTCCTCCACCCTTCTCACCTCATCCTTGAAGAGCTTGGCTTGGTCCTCGCAACCCGTCAGAGTCTGAACAAAGCTAAAGACCTGGGAATAAACAGAGAAAAATATCAAGACAGAAGCACCGTTTCTGGCTGGAGACCCCCATGAGCCCACAGAGGCATTCTGTGCCCTGTAAGGTAACGTGTGGCTGCTGGGGCAAAGGCTGGAATTGCAGCTCCCTCCCATGCCTAGAGACCACCCTTGGAGCGGGGCACAGGAGCTGGCCCTCTCCAGCCCCACAGCAGCAAATGCTACAGCAGCTTCATCTCCAACAAGCCACCTCCAGCACAGCGAGACGATTCCCAGTGAGGGGCCCACGGGAGGGTAATGGGGAAGTCAGGCTGGGCTGGCTGCTGGGGCTGGGGTCAGAGTTCTAGCTACCCAGGCCTTAGGTGGGACCATCACAGATGCCCAAGAAAGTGAATGAAGGTGACAATGAAGAATTGGAAGTAAAGGTTTCTTTTTCAGAGAAACAGTGGAGTGAATTCTTATCTGCAGAGTCCATGGTTTCGTTTTTTTAACTTGGCAAAGATGAAAATTATTTCCTTGGAAAATTGTAACACTTTAAATGAAGATTCTGTTGTTTGCCCTCACCTGCCTGGCCTGTGTTAGTGGCACATTCAAGCCAAGCAAGAACCTGGTAGTTCTGCATGTGCTTCCCACAAGCTGCTCATGCCTGGCAGATGTCCACACAAGTGGACAACTACAAGTGTGTCCAGTCAACCTCCTTCTCGCTAGCCCAGAGAAATGGCCACTGGAACACCTACATGCCTGTTGCATGTACCATGGTGCTGCATGGCCAGGAAGAGTGCTCCCAGCCCATGCCAGTGGGTTAGGAGCCAGCATGCAGTCTTCAAAAACATCTTACCTCATCAATGGTCCACTTGGCCACCGTAGTTGCTGTGATGCCAGCCACCCCTGGCAGGAGTTTGCAGTGCTGCTCCCAGCAGAGCGACAGGGAGCGGTCGGGGTGGGCAGACAGGGCAGACATGAAGAGCGACTGGTGCATATTGTCTGAAGAAATAGCTGGCAATGAAAAAAGCAAGATGTGATAGAAGGTAAAAGAATGAGAAGATCCCATCCCATCCTACAAGCCTTGGGGAGGGCTCAGGGCTGGCAGCAGATGGTCTCATGGGTTCAAGAATCGAGAGCTAGTGGTTATCCTTGAATTCATAGGGTATCATCAGTGCATCCCAGTGTTCCGTTTGGTGGGACTGGGGGTGGCGGGGGAAGAAGTTTAGAGACAAGCTTGGCTTTGCCTTGTTCTCACCACCTCCAGTCTTTCATTTTCCATCCTGAACTAGATTTCAATGTCAAATTTCACACCAGAATGCCATCCCATGTCATTCAATTCATTTCAGGTTTTTAACAAAGCTTTTCCCTCGCTCTCTGCTCCAAGGAGTGAAGGATGGCTCCCAAAAAGAGATCCTCATCGTTCACCCCCAGTGCTGGGGTAGGCAGTGGGACCACCCATGGTAAAATGGACACCGGCTGGAATAAATGTCAGCCATGTCTTATGTCAGTCATCAGAACCAAACGCCCAGCAAGCTGTCCTGCATCAGTTTCTGTGCTGCAGCAATAATTTGGCACTTCACAACCACACTGATGTTTTGGGGTACGGCAGCCCCAGGGTGAAGGTACAACATCCCTGCCTGAAGGGGACCAAGCGCCAGGGAAAATGCACTGCCACAGGGAGGGGATCCCCACTCCCTGCCCTAAAACACTCAAGGATTGACAGACAGAAACCATGAGACACCGCGAGGGTCCCAGCAGAGCTCTGGTAGGAGGCAGGGATGTTCCTTGTCAGCTTTGGTAGTTGACCACAAGCTCCTCACTGGTGCTCACCTGCGTGAGGTCTAACCAGGTGAGCCAAGGGGGACCTGCCTCCAGCAGCCACCACCCCGGCTCCTCCAGCTTTGCCCCTGGGATGACACCGTGGCAAAGGATGGCACTTACTCTGGAAGTCTTCCTGCTGGATCTTCCGGTACTTTGGAGGTCGCCCTCTAAAGAGACAGGAAGACTGGTTTCCAACTGGGTTGGGGTTGGCCCGAGGGCCCTCCTCCACACTGCACAGAGCAATGCCTCGGCAGCAGGAGCAAGGATTACCTCTGGGGCCCTGACCCAAAGGATTGACAGCTAAAGATATAAAATGTGGGAAGAAAAACCAAGAGAGGTGCCCAACAGAGCTGAAAGGACTAACGCCAGCAACCGACTGTGCTCCCCCGTGGCCAAGGAGCCTCTCCAGCATGGCCACCCCTCCCAGGGACAGCAGTCGTGGTGCAGGGTCTGTCCCTACCTCCCGTGGTGCCGGGATTTCTTTCGCTGAGGGAAGCCCATCAGGTTCCTCTTGCGAGTGGAGGCCTCGGTGTCAGACAGGTCCGCCTTGAGCCTGCCCTGGTTCTTCTCAGCCAGCGGGCACCCTGAGAGGCAGTAATGGGCCGTGAATCTCCCAGTCACGTGTCCTGACCCGTCGCAACCCGGCGTGGGGCACTTCCTAGAGAACAGAGGGGAGGCAAGCGTTGGACTCACAGCAGCACGGCGGGGCGAGCCAGCAGGGCCACCCTTCCGCCCCTCAGCACGGGAAGCCATAGCCCTGGCCATGGAAAGCAGAGTGAAGACGTGCTGAACAAACTCCAGGGGCGAGGGCGCTGGGTGCGCGGGCAGGACACAGCCAGCCCCTCCAGGTATAGAACAGAATCAGAGAATCGTTGTGGTTGGAAGAGACCTTTTAGATCATCAAGCCCAACCCTTACCCCAGCACTGCCACGTTACCACTAACCCATGTCCCTCAGCACATCTACACATTTTTTAAATCCCTCCAGGGATGGTGATTGCACCACTTCCCTGGGCAGCTTGTCCTAATGATTGACAACCCTCTCCATGAAGAAATTTTTCCCAATGTCCATCCTAAATCTCCCCCGGTGCAACTTGAGGCCGCTTCCTCTTGTCCCATTGTCTGTTCCTCAGAAGAAGTGACCAACCCCCCCGGCTACACCCTCCTTTCAGGGAGTTGGAGAGAGCGAGAAGGTCTCCCCTCAGCCTCCTTTTCTCCAGGCTGAACACCCCCAGCTCCCTCAGCCTCTCCTCACAAGACTTGTGCTCCAGACCCCTCACCAGCTCCGTTGCCCTTCTCTGGACCCACTCCAGCACCTCAATGTCTTTCTTGTCATGAGGGGCCCAAAACCGAACACGGTATTTGAGGCGTGACCTCACCAGTACAAAGGTACAAGCACGTTTCTAGTCCTTCTGGCCACACTATTTCTACAAACGGCCATCCCACCCCACCAGCTGCCGTCACAGTGACCCTGCGCAAGTCACCACAGCAGCGCTGATCAAACAGGTTGCTGGGGTTCACAGAGTCTCCATCTTCCCTTCCTTGCCCCCACAGACATCCAGACTAGCCTCAGACTGAGGAGGAAGCAAGTGTCACGAGTGTGGCCAGTAGAGAAACCCCTGGGATCTAGCCTGCCTTCCTCATCCTCATGGATGCTCCATCATACTTGATGCCAGCCTGCCCTGCTGGGGTTGGCACTACACCCGGTCTGGTTTCCCCTGAAAAAGTTGACGCAAGTGACTGAATGAGCTGGGGGAGATGCACTGCTCCTTCTCAGGACTTTCCAGCTCACAGCCTCACAGTGAAGGGCATCCATGGGGGGAGGGAGGGACATCATCCTCAAAGCTGACATCGGTGAACAACATCTTAGAGGCCCTGTCCCCTCTGTAGCCCATACGTTCCCATAGGGAGATGGGCATGTAGGGCAGCCCCAGGGGCTCTCGGTGCTGTGGGACAAGGACAGAGTAGGAGCTCAGAGGAGTTTCACTAGCCACGGGCTCCAGGCCACCTCGGGGCTGGTCTGGGGAGAGCAAGGGCTGTCCCGAAGCAGGGGGCACAGCCAGGTGTGGGGTGGGTGCGGAGAAGGGCTGGTTGCTGGTGGGGTGGCAGAGAAAGGGGCGGCAGGGAAGCTGTGCCCCTCTGAGCTGTGCTGGGAGCTCACCTGTGGTGAAAGCTGTACTTGGAGCTCTTGGTGTGAGGGATGCTCTTGCAGCCCAGAGTTGGGCAGCTCCCGTGGGCAGAGGAGGCTGGTTCCTTTGGCCCTAGACCAGAAGGAGAAATAGGAGAGAGACTGTCACGGCTGTAGCCCCAGGCAGAGTCTCTAGGGTCCCTGCCTGCACCAAACAGGAAGGACTTTTCCAACTGAGAACTCCACAGAAAAGCCCTTCCTCCCTGCCCATCCTTGGCCAGCACATGCCCTCCCATTCCTAAACATGGTGGCGGCGGGGACCTGGCACGCTTTGGCCCTGGTATGAGGGATGACCCAGTGCAGGACTTACTGAGAGGAGGCTGCAATGGGTGTCCAGTTTTTGAGCACCAGCCTATGGGGTGGATGTCCGGATGATCTGCATCAATCCAGAAATCATAGACGTGGCTCCAGCCATCAAAATGTATCTGGAGAAACAAGTAGAGAAGTCACCCTTCAAACCTCAGGGCACCTCCCTGAGGAGCTCTGGAGCCCTCCAAGCTGCCAGCAAGCAGCAGGGTAGAGCTCAACTGCAGCATGAAGCTCTGCTCCACTCCTGGGACCTGGCACTGGGACCTGCCATCCTCCACATGGTGAGCTTCCACAGACCTCCATACACTTTTCCTCTGCGACTGGCAGTGAGTTGGGAAGGGCAGGAGCAAGCCAGCACAGCGATGAATACAGGCTCAGCACCGAGACTCCAGCACTCACCTTTATCCTGTGATCTTCCACATCCTCCACACTGGCCACTCGGATGAAGGAAGGAGTCCTCCTGTCCACTGCCTCCAGCTTCATGTTGACCAGGAAGCCATGGGGTGGGCGCTGGGGCCAGGAAGAACCCAGGTCAGTGGGGAGCAGGGCTGTGCTTCAGGATCCCATGCCCCTCGGCAGCGTTCCCAGCAGCGTGTGCTCCTCAAGCCCAGCTCCCAGCCCTGGCCTGTCCATGTAAAAGCCATCCCAGCAAACAGGGGCAACAGGAGAGAGTGGGGACAGGCCTCCCGGATCTGAGCTGTGTTTTAACACAACGGGAAAGCTGTGCCTAAGGGAAGAAGGTCTCTAAGAGACATGTTTTGGGGCCCTATATTGCAGCCACACTTCCCTGGACACAGCTGCTGTTGTTGCAGTTGGAGGCAACAACTATCACGCAAGCCTAAACAAGTTCCCATCACCCAGCTCCTGTGTGGCTAAGGGGATGGTCACACTTCCCATTTTTCCCAGTTTTGAACTTCCTGCCCAGGAGAGGCCTGATTTCTGAACCCCAGGCCTGTGGCAGGAACATACTGAACATCCCTGACAATGGAGAAAAAACCAAATTCCTGCCCAGCTGGAGCAGACGAGGTGGCACTTACCACTTTAAAGGCCCAAGCTGGGACAGCAGATGCTCCGGTTTCCTTTAAGTACTTTTCCCAGGTGAAGTTGTCGGGGTCGGGATAATCTAGACCGGGGAAGAGAAGGTGAGACACACCTGCAGGAAGGTGGCAAGCAGCCTAGAAAGTCCTCCTGCCTTGAAGGACCAACCAAGTCTGTGGCAGGCACATGGGAACCCAAGACATCAAAGAATGCTACTATTTTCTTATGGACCATGAAATCCAGGGTATAAGGAAGCAGAAGCATCTGTGTCTGCAGTGTGGGTCCCCCTCATGTGTCCACTTTGCCTGACACAACCACCACACTGCACCTGAACACGTGCACAGGAGCCTCAGCAGGAATGTGCCACCTCCCTGGCTATGGCCTTGCTGGAGGAAACCCCTTGGGCCTGCACACAAGTAAGGGCTGAGGGGTCTTCCCCCCCCAGAACGCCCATGCCACCCTGAGAAGCCTGTCCCCAAGGGGATGCGCCAGTGAAGGCCGTGCTCCTGGGCCACTGACTCACCTTGAGGAGGTGTGAGGGGTTTGCCGTGCTCCTGACACCATCCAACTGGGTGGATGTATGGACTGCTGGGGTCACACCTGGAAAACACACCCCAACTCTTACACAGGGCTGAGATACCCAGCTTATAAACACCAGACACCGCAGGCAAAAGCCTCTGCAGAAGTCGAGGTCTTCTACAGCACCCCTGTCCCTGAGTGACCCAGGGAACCACAAGCCCTGGCAAGGGTGGCAGGACTCCAGCTCAGAGGGGTAAGACAAAAGGTGCCCTGGGTGCAAGCTCTGCCACAGAGCTACCCAGGGAACAGCAACCCTTTGATGCCAGCAGGGATACAGAGCTCGGAGCGGTGAGACCTGAGCAATCAGAGGGTCTTGTGTCTTGGTGATGGCTCCCAGAAGGTCACAGCACACTCAGGTGCTGCTGCTTCACAGCTCTGCCCTGGGACGGAGCAGGCAGCCACCCAGCACCAGCGAGTGAGGAGCAGCCGGGGACAGGAGCCACTGCAGCCCCACAGCTCCTCGGGGAGAGAAGTAAGAGAAGGTCAGAGGGCTCCAGCCACAAAGAAAACAGGACCCTGATTATGCTAACTGGCCATTTTAATTGGCCTTATCTAGTCTCAACCAGGACATTTCCCCACCCCAGCCATAATCCCCTGTGACAGACCCAGGAGCTCCTTCTAAGATCAGGTCTTCAGTCTCTGCAATCACAACTGTCTTTGCCCCATGTTAACTACACAGCCATGGCAACCTCCCAGGAGGTGACATGGAACAGATAAAGGTTTGTCCCCAAGACAGGGGGGTGACCCTCTGCCTCACAAGACAGCTAGTGGCCTGTCTACAGCAATGTGCTGGGATCATCCCATCTTTCCTGAGCACCCATCACTCTTGCTGAAGCGGTGGCAGGGTGTCACCCCAGCACTGGCACCCCAGGAACCTCTGTGCACTTACCAGTAGTCGTAAGTATCATCCCAGTTGTCAAAGTGCACCAAAAAGCGATTGTCCACCACGTCAGTCACTGTGGCAACACAGATCAGGGAAGGGTTCATGCGGTCCACAGCTTCGAGCTTCATGCCCACCTCGAAGCCTGGGGAAGCCTCGTGCTGGGAAGAGAGAGGGGCAGTTTCCTGTCAGAGCCGCAGGCCCAGCACCCTCCTCACCACTTCCCTTGCTATAAGGAGGCACCTGCCCAAACCCTCCCAAAACCAGGTCCTCCCCAGCCTCCAGACAGGCCCAGGACCACTTAGGATCCCAGAAGGGTGGGTCCCTGCTGTGCATGCAAGAAAAGAGGCAGAGGGTGACAAACCCCACTTGGCCACACAAAGAAAGAGGAAAAGAAATCTTCAGACCCTCAGGATCTTCAATAAGCAGTAACATCCAAGGGAAAAAACAGCCTCCAACTTACACCAATTCAGATTTTATCATAAAACACTTCTTTGTGGTTGCACTCCTCTGGTGTTCACAGTGCCCAATGCCCGAGGCTTGGCAGGAGGAGCTGGGATGGGGCCCTTCACCCTGCCTTGCCTTTATTTCTTGGACCCACAATCTGTGCAAAACGCTGGGTCACACACACTAACGGGATTGTTGCAGCAATGAACAGGAGAGTTTAGACACAATAAATAACCTGGAGAGGCTGATTTATCAGTAGGTTGAGCTTCCTCTGCAGCTGACAAAGAAATGATCAGCATTTTGGACTCTGCTCTATTCCCACTTTCTGTACCCAGCTGCCATATGAAAACCAAAGGCAGAGGCAGAAACAATGAAGACACAAAACAGAGACAAGAGACTTATACCTAAAAAACACTGTCTGGGAGGTTTTGGTAAAATAGTTGTTGAGAATAGTGGTTACTTCTCCTCATCAGTACTTTTGCAATAGATTTAACTTGTGTTCCCCAGGGCTCACTACTGGGGCCGGTTCTCTTTAATATCTTTATCAATGATCTGGGCAAGGAAACTGAGTGCACCATCAGTAAATTCGCAGACACCAAGTTGGGTGGGAGAGTTGATCTGCTTGAGGGCAGGAAGGCTCTACAGAGGGACCTGAACCGGCTGGCTGGATGGGCTGAGGCCAATGGGAAGAGCTTCAACACGGCCAAGTGCTGGGTCCTGCCCTTGGGTCCTTCAACATGGCCAAGTACTGGGTCTTGCCCTTGGGTCCCACCAACCCCCTGCAGCGCTCCAGGCTGGGGGCAGAGTGGCTGGAGCTGCCTGGCAGAGAAGGACCTGGGGGTGTTGGTCGACTGTCGGCTGAACAGGAGCCAGCAGTGTGCCCAGGTGGCCAAGGAGGCCAACACCATCCTGGATTCTGTGTCAGGAGCAGTGTGGCCAGCAGGACTGGGGCAGTGACTGTGCCTCTGGACTGGGCACTGGTGGGGCCCCACCTCGAGGGCTGTGTCCAGTTTTGGGCCCCTCACGACAGGAGGGACCTTGAGGGGTCTGGAGCACAAGTCTTGTGAGGAGCAGCTGGGGGTGTTCAGCCTGGAGAAAAGGAGGCTGAGGGGAGACCTTCTCGCTCTCTCCAACTCCCTGAAAGGAGGGTGTAGCCGGGGGGGGATCAGGTCATCGCCAAGGAACAGGCGATGGGACAAGAGGAAACGGCCTCAAGTTGCAGGACGTTTAGATGGATATTGGGAAAAATTTCTTCATGGAGAGGGTTGTCAAACATTGGGACAGGCTGCCCAGGGAAGTGGTGCAGTCACCACCCCTGGAGGTATTTAGAAGCTGGGCAGATGTGGTGCTGAGGGACGTGGGTTATTGATAACTTGGCAGGGTTAGGTTTACAGTTGGACTTGATGATCTTAAAGGTGTCTTCCAACCAAAATGATTCTATAATTCTATGATTGTACAAACCTGCAGGCTCTGGCAGGAAGGAGAAGCTGCTACTCACAGTGTTTCGGACCATGAAGAGGTGCTTAGGAGCAGCCTGAGCCTTTGTTATCTTCAGGTAGTTTGTCCAGCTGAATTCTTCTTCCTTATAACCTACAACCCCTCAAGAAGAGAAATGAGAGCAGCAAATTCACAGAGAGCAGCCAGGAGGCTGTGGGGCCAAGCCCAGCTATCCCTGACCAGCCCTCACCCTGCCAGGCATGTCCTGTGTGGGTGGATGGGGTCTATAGCAGCCCTGGGAAACCCAAAGCCCATGGCTTAGGCCCAATGGCTGATTTTGAAGGGGTGCTAGGAAACATTAGCCCTGGATTGGAAATCCAGAGGTCAGCTCCTCCCTGGAAAGCATCAGTCCCACCTGCCTTGGGACATAGCTGGCTCCAGCCTGGCATGGGGACATCTAGAGTGACAGGGCTTTGCCCTAAAATTGGACCGAGCAGAGATCGCAGAGGTGGGTGCCAGAAAGGTTGTCCTGCAGAACCTCTCCCAGCACAGCAACAGCCCTTCCTGGCCCTCACAGAGCCACCCTGTCCCCATCTCCAGCTCTACATTCAGTGCCCACTACTTGTCCCCCTCCTTCAACAGGACGCACCAATTGAGACTCGTTAACTCATTAACTCCTTACCTTTTGGTGGCTGGAGTTTGTGCCCCGTCTCCTCGAACCAGCCAGCGGGATGGATGTCAGGGGAGTCAGCATTCAGCCAGAAATCATGGCACTCAGAGTAGCCATCAAAGTGGAGGCGCATCCGGTAACCGCACACCTACCAGCAGGGAGGGCAAGAAAAGGAAAGGACCATGGACTATGGAAACCTCCTGCTGTCCCTGGCCGAGCATCGCAGGCACCTCCCCTCCCGCACGCAATCTCAGCGGATCACTTAGGGAAGCCAAGGATCATCATAGGTCAGTGCTCAAATCGGAAGGCACGCACCAGTCCCAAAAGATGTCCAGCACAGAACAACATAAGTGCAAGGCCACCACAAGCCAGCCCTGAGACGGGAGGTTCAGGCTGGTGCCCGAGATGCCATGGTGGGGCACCTTGCTGGGTCCAGGAAGTGCAAGGATTCCTTTTTCTGCACCTGGGGGAGATGCTGGCACGGGGATTTTGGCTAAATGTCATGCTGCTTTGGTGAAATCTCTGCAGCAGCAAGAACAGCAGCTGCCATTGCACAGCTGATCTCCCTGGCTGCCTGGGGAGCACTGTGAGACGAGGCTGGTTCGGCTGCCACATGGCTCGGGGGAGAGCCCCACAGAGAGAGAGGACCTCCACAGGCACAAGGAAGAGCAATGGAATGCCTCCACACCCTCCAGACCTGTCTGAGGGGCATCAGCTCAAAGATAAGAAGCTGTTGCCATCACCACAGTCTCCCCCTGTGGCGGTGTTGTGTCCTCCCCACCCCCCCCGTCCCCCGGCTCCTGCCCGGCCTTGGCCACCGCGGCCATCACAACAGCAGCTGTGAGAACTTGCACCCGGTCTCTGGGGGATGGCTGGCAGCAGAGTCAAAATAATGTCTGGAGTGGGGACCTAGAAATTTTGTTGCCATGAAAATATGACTATAGGTCAATTATCTTACTGTATAAATAGTGGACAGCCCAAGAGCCCTTTGAGCTCTCCTGTAGGGCAGCAGGCTGCACGCCAGG